TAGGTGCACTTCGATTTGGCGAATGCATACCGAAATGACTGAGTGGTAAGTTGGCAATGATAATGCAAAGATCCTTAATAGCAATCAATGCTTCATTGTACATAGCGTCACTGAATGTTATCGTTAGATCGTTGTACCGTGTACGATGTTAATGCAATATATCATCAGTCATTGAATCTTTGTGATTATCCCACAATGTCTCTGCTCGGGTTGGGAAACACGTAGTCAACCGCAGTGGCTAATCGCACCACCTACGTTAGCGCATGCGCACAATCAGCCCAGTTACAAGCATTTTACGCCGATTTGCCATAAGACAGGCGGTAGCGGGAGCGAGGGTTGTTAATAGTTTTTGCTTATTTTCCTTGTATGCGATTTCTTTGTTAATTAATTTTTAATTATTGTTCCTGAAATTTACGTGTTATTTGTTTGACATAACTTGAGGACGATGGATGTGACAAAAACAAATTTCTTGCCTTTTGAGTGTGGAAACAAGTTTTCCACATATTTTGAATTTGAAAGGGCAAAAGAACTGAATTGAATGAAAATCAAAATTTTGTTGTTTTGATTCAAACGAGATAGTAAAATTTCACAAGGGTCATAAACATCGTGAAACGGTATCGTGCAAATATATTTGAATGTAAGAAAGGACATATTCATAAACAATCATCATAAAAAGTTATATTCATATTCATAAAGAGTTAAATTCTTTTATTTAACATAGGAACTTTTTATGCAAACTTAGACCCTAGTCTTATAGCATAGAACTGTGAGAATTTGTTATTCAATAATAAAATTTATTGAAAATTATAATGTATCACTTATATATGCATCACTTTTTCAGTGTCCACACATAAGTTCAAATGCCATGTTTCAAAATCAAAGCTATTCATAAAATAAAACCTTATAAAATCTGATAATTCATTTGCGTGTGCAAATTTGTCAATCTAAATCTCTTACATTAAATTATTGTCTTTTAAATTATATCCCATTATTTATTATAATTTAATTTATTAATGTGTTTGTACTAATATTTCAAAGTACTTTGGAAATATATTTTGTGTTCTGAAAATGAAGACTATTTCCATAGAAAAATTAAACAGGCATACAAAATTGTTAATAACTAGTATTATATGATTATTTATTAATTTAATAGTTTATTTCATTGCTTTCAACTTATTTCATGTCTAAATTTTCTACGCAGACATACTCTGTCTAATTTTTATTACCTTTTCTCAGACGAAAAATTTCAAAGAGGAATGACCAAAAATCTTGATTGTGCAAAACACATATTTGAATCTAATTGCATTCTAAGAAGTACAAAAAATTTAAACGAGTTTTTAGTCACCCTCCTCCCCAAATCAGTCATTTAAACTATTCCAACCATTCAGGAGAACGAATGGCTGGAATAGTTTATGCGAACATAAAAATCTGCCCTTTTTTATATGTACATAAATAAAAGAAATGTGTTCCTCATTTATATATATATAAGAAAAAGAACACCGAATTATATAATTCAAAAAATTCGGTGAGTGTAGTTTTTTGGTGTATTTATAGCACGACCAATCGTTGTTTCGTTCGTGAAAATCGTTGTTTCGTTCGTGACCGTTTTCAAGATGAACGGTTAAATGAATAATTGCTAGATCCCGTTCATGAATTGGGAAACCAAAGATACGCCAAACAGCTTCATTGGAGCTGATGTACCGGCCAGTTTGGTAAAGCGTTATTTCATTGTTGTTATTCACTGGAGGCGCATTCACATTGGCATTTTCAACTCGAAATACAGCCATATCACTCCCTTTTATTCACATACTTCCAAATGTATTTGATGCTTTTCACTGAACTGCAGAACTCAACATTAATATGAGCTTTGAATGTTTTGCTCAGCAGAGGCGAATATGGCACCAACCAACAATTTTCAATGTCAATCTGTGTTGTTGTTATTTTTAATAAATAATTATCCGCTATTATCGGGATTTCTTCGACGATATATTGGATATCCGTTGACATTTGTGATCGTATCGTTAGTGAAATTTTTAGGAAAACGTTTGGTACATTTTCCATCTGCCATGCAAGACGATAAACGTTTCAGATTACCGCATGGGCCATTAATCATGTTTCCTGTAACAATATCAAACAGCAATGATCAGTTGACGGATCTGAAATTTCCACTGAAATTATACTATTGATTTCTTCAGGACGGATGTTGTCGATTAGCCAAACCAAAATGTGTGCCTGAGGTAATCCTTGCTTTTGCCATTCAATCGAATACATCCAGCAACGCGTGGAACCGAATACATGTAATTTTGTATTGAAACTTATTAAAGGCTTTAATTTTTGTCTGAACACACGTGCTGTAATGACAAGACGATGTATTGCATTTTGGCCAGGCAATAGCAAAGATGTAATCTCCGGCCATTTTGGATTACATGTGAACGTGATAAGTAAGCACGGTCGTCCATATTCGCACATGAAAGTCAAAGCACCCTGTATATATTCTTGCATATGACGTGAACTGCCTATGTACGACGATGGTAGAATGACAGAGGTACCAATTTCGGCGGCGTCGGCGTTGTTGACAATAGCGTTTCGCAAGTAAATGTATTCTTCGGCACACAGTTTTTGTTGATTATATCGCAAGTATCGTAGTTGTTTGCTCTCTATCTTCACGTACATGTCGACCATGAATTGTTAACAAAGCTCACGACATCATAAAATGACGTTGTCTTGACAACGTCGAATCATCAACCGATACGTATAATAATTCTTCGAGCTAACATTCTTGTTTGTTTCGGCTTCTGTAATAATATATTCATAAATATTAATTCATATTAATTAAGTTTAATAAATTAAGTTTTTGTTAAATGAGTAATGATCAAGTTCATAATAAATGAAGTACCTCTTACCGGATCTCGTTGTTTAATATTTGTGCAATATCGGTCTTGTCGCTTCCAGAACATTAGCGGATATTGGAGAACGTCATATGAACGGTGTGTATCAGCAATGAACTGGAAATTGTTGTTTCTTCTACGAATCACGATTTCTCGTGTAGCTGTACGATCGCCAACCATAATTCCAGCAACGTTATCAACAATAGGTGCATTGAATCTATGAATGTGCTCTCCAGCTGTTCTTTTGTCAGGATTGATTACAATAGCGTGATTATCACTTTGTAATTTGCGCATGTGTGATTGGAATATTTTCAACAATTCATTCTGCTCGTTCAATAGAGCGTCCAGCTCGCCGACGATGCGTTTGGCAATTGAGGTTATTGTAGCCACAACGTGCATCCACGCGACTGTAAAGTGCTCTTCCGGAATCCTCACCGCCTATAAAGTTAGATTTGCAAAACTTTATGTGGTTCGTTTGGCATTGGCAGCAATGAACCCACTTTGTGATAAATTTGGACTTGGATTTTGAATGTTGAATTGTATTGTTGACCATTTGCAGCATTATTTTTAACTATTTCTGTTCATCCGAACGATGTCATTTGGAAACACACGATGTCATTTGGAAACACGAATTGAATGTTCGAATTAACTTCAGAACAGGTTAAAATCTGGATCCGTGTCAGTAAGTAAAGGTTCAGGTGGTGTATCAATTTCAGGTAGTTGCACATTTCCTGATGCGCAACACATCCCGGCTGACTCATTTTTAAATTTAAGAGCATTACAATGCGGGCATTCCTTGTCCATAGCACCAATTACCACTTTTGAATGAGCATAATATTGGATATCGGGCTCATACTCGAATGCTAGATGCAGGAATAAATCAGATGTAAATGATTGATGTACCTGTTGGCATTGTTGGTCATTTGCTCTGAGTCCGTTAACTATAATCAAATGTCTGTCTGTCATCAAAATTTTCACATTGATGGAAGTTATAGGACTCAGTCCTTAACTGAATATAGCACATAAAATTGATTATCTAATGTAACAGTATTATGTTTAAAATTTATTTAATGAGCTTGATCATGATTGTTTAGACATAGAAAGAGTAAATCTAATGCAACGCAATGCGTGCAAAACATAAATTTTCAACTTCAAAGAAAATAGTAATTAAAAAACATACACAAATTAATTTAAGACAAATATCATACGCATTATTCTGTCTCAAAAATGACAATTTCTCTCCAGTTTCTGTTGCTGCTTGATATTTGTACTGCTTATTTGCTAAACTACTATTACACGCAATTCATCATTGTCATATGTTTAGTTTTGGATCAGTGAATTTAAAAAGATTTCAATGCCTAGTTGTACATTTTAGTTTAGTTGGAATACTCACATTTGAAGTTCTGCATCTGATAATTTTAGAGGAATTTCGCTGCTACGATGTCTGTCTGAACTTTTCCGTAGATGCTGATTTTATCCAACATAAAAAAAATTCTGCTGTTCCGAATCTAATACATAAAAATACCATTTCTCTTATTAAAAAATAATCTCGATAAATATTTTTATATTAATTTATTAAAAATAATCAACTTGAGGGCAAATTTTAAAAGAAGTTATTATTTTTTGAAGCGAAATGACTCTGATTCACCTATACTTGAAAAAAGTTTAGAAACAGCATGCAGTCAGCCTAAGTCGGCTCTATTAAATAGAAATTAAGACAAATTGCTGTTATCTTAAATATTTGTTTTTATTGACCATGCGATAGATTACATCAATTAGTTAAATTTAAACTGTTAGCTGTAATTAGAAAAGAAACCGCCAAATGGTCACCAAAAAGTCGTTAACTTACCATAATCCAAAGATTAAACTTAATTTCTTTTACTTCAAAATATCCCAAATCATATTTTTCAAATTTATGTATTTATTTATCTTTTACTTTATTTATTTATTTTATCCTCAAATTCAGCCAGTAACTGACTAAAATTTTTAAGCAAAATTAATCATTAATAACAGATTGTGATTGTTTTTGTGTTAAATTTATTCAAATAAACAACACAACAGTAATATGTTTTAATGTAATTTTTTCAGAGGAAATGGATGTGGACTGACTTATTTTAAGGATGATCGCAATCAGAGAATATTATTTATTCGGAATTTTATTGAAATTATTCATATCCCATTTCTATTAGCATTTCTTTCATAAATTATTCGTAAAAATGTTAGACTAAGTTTTTTGGGTGTTGACTCCAAAAGGATGAGATGGCGGCTGTTCTAACTGTATAAACCATGTATGCCGTACTTTGCAGAAATCAGCATCAAGAGGAGGAGCCGATGGAGTGCAGTCTACATTTGTCGTCGAGTTAATATCAGTGAATTCTTGCTCCTGTTCTGGGTGAACTTTACCTTTGGCTTTCGGATTGTCCACGACGGTATGCCATGAAAGTACCTAGTAAGGAAGATACTTTTTAGAAGAGAAAAAGTTAAATATGAATACTAGAGTCTGTGAATGACTGTAATAGAAGAGTTGCATGTGTTCAAAAGACCTTTGAGCATAAAACAGTTTTTAACATTCAAAAGACAATTTATATTTCATTCATTTTACAGTACACTTCCAGATATAATTCAATCTAATGAGCATTTATAAAATAGAAAAGTTTATATAAACATATTTATTTCGGAAAGCCAAAACATTTTTTAAGTCTTCTAAACTTATGATGGCCTACACTCGCAACGGAAATAGCTATTATCCAAGTATGAGGTATAATGTTCTAAACGATATCATAAGGTTGTCCGATAATAGTATTTGCCTTTAAGTTGTTGTTTGTTGTGACTTATTTCACTTGTCTGACAGTAATACAAGAAAAAGCCCATGCATTCCTTCCTGGCAAGAAATGCAAGACAGCGCCCATGCAGCCAGTCCGTTCGCCTGGAATCGAACCCAGGTCAGAACTATCAGTGTTCAGCGGATTTACCACTCAGCCGCTCGTGGACCATCTTCTTCTAAGAAGCAAACTACATGCTGGGAAGCAACCTAATGGGTTCTCTAGCTGATGCTTTAAGTTTCCTCAAGGGTTTAAACCTAAAGGATTCCTGAAGGCTAAATAATACAACTGGGGAAGTGTTGTATTATTTAAGGCATCGTTTTTAAGAAGTGTGCTACTTCAAAATAAACAGATAAATAATCAAAGAATAAACACCATGACTGCCACTGCTGTTTTATCAGGCACGTTTCTTTTCCTTTTCTATGTTCTATAGAAATTCAGAAAAAATTAATATTTAGAACTTTTCTATTTTGTAGTTTCCAAGCAGAACGCTTCCCAAAATATTATGCTTTTTACAGTAGCTTGGATTAGTTTCACACTTCTTTAAATAATTCTTTAAGTTCTTTTAAATAAACGTTCGTAAAAGAAGATGATATTCATTGAAGCGAAAAATGGTTTCGAAGTACCATTTTTCCAATTACCATACCAATTTTGTTTTTCAATCTAGTTTTGATAAGGGGAAGCATGAGCCTAATCAGCACGAGAATTATATTCGCCTGGGGATACAAAAATCGTTTCTGGTGCTTCAATAAACTTTTTGGTGACGTTATGGGAGCTTTGATTCTGTGATAAATTTTTGGTGGCACCATCATTAAAATTGTCTATTATGCCCCTCAATTTTTCTTCTGCTAGTTTACAGCGCGGAATAATTTCTTGTCATCTTCTGGTACCAATCTGCAGCTACAGTTAGTTGCTTTTCAGCCTTAGTTTTTGGAGAAATTTAAGCAACTCACAAGGCTTGTCCTTCGAAAATGGTCTGAACCAGATCCTTTTGCATCAGGATTCACCTTTTCTCAAACTGGTTTAACTCCGACGCTTTCTATCTGACGAACATGAATAATGCAATTAATGGAGGAACATGATAATTCTAGTTCTATGTAAACCGTTTCATAAATGATGTTTAATATCATTTGCATATATTATTTTGATTTATAAATTCATAATGCTTTGATTTTTTTGTAGTAAATTATTTAACATTTAAAGAAAATATCAAGTAAAGAAAAATCAAATAAATTTTGATATTATTAACTTTAAAAAAAGCTGAATTCTTACAGTCCTCACTAAAGCATATCAACCATTATGAATGCATATGCAGACAGATTCCATTTTTTTAATAAACACGACTTCGCTATAATGAAGTAGAACAGACAGTACTTAAAAATAATTAATAAAAATTCATTAGATTAGTTCTATTTGATATATGCGCAAAATATATCATACAGATTCAGCAGACAAACTATTACTATAAACTAATCTTCAAGAATATGATTATGTCATGTACTTTAGAAATGCATACACCAGGACATAATCTAGTGTATTACAGCCATTATAATTAATACATTTTTCTGAAAAGTTTTAAAATAGAAAAGCTATTCGTACGGTAAATTAGGGATATATAAATCATTTCACTTGTTATTTCTAGCGAATATTTTTCCAATTATATTTGCAAAAAGTATTTAAATAATGCAAACAGGGTTTTATAATATAATACTGGTGTACAATTTGTGTTTATTTGTTGATAATTTAGGCTTTGTGTATTTTTATAGCTTTGTGAATTATTTTTATCGACTTGCTTATTTATTTACAGTACTTTTGTGATGTATTATTTTACGGAATTTGATCTCTTGTTTATTTGTTATATATTGCCAGCTTCCATTGTACTCTTGATGACATTCCAGATTTATTCAAGGAACTAAAAAGCACCAGAAATAGGAATAACATATATTAAAGTTAATAAAAGATATCCAACTAACAATTTACACGTGTTTTAAGCAATTTAATAAGTCATTTGACTACATAACTTTAATAAGTATTCAAAACAAAAAGTAATAGGTTGTAAATAATATAAGAATAAATATTATAACTATTATTGCTGTTATTTCATGCACTTTTATTTACTTTTTATATTTCACGTAGATAGTTAATGATAGTTTGAGACAGTAATTTTTCCATTACTTCGTAATAAACAAATGTATCGGGGAAAAAAAAGAAAAAAAAGAAAAAGAAAAACTCTTTGCGATAAGAAAGTTTTTAACCCATCCTTGGTAAATAAGGAAATTACTCTATTTTATTTGATAAGGAATTTGTGGCTATTTGATATAATTGTATGCATTTCCTTTATGAATACTGTCTTAAATCTTTTAATTCTGAATTATTGGGTATCGTAATTGAAAGGATAGCTCGTGTAGAAGCGATGATTATGGGTAGAAATAGCATAAATCATTTTACGGAGTCTTAGTTGAAGACTGCTGTTACCATGGTATTACCGAGACTGCTGTTACCATGGTTTGTTACCGAGGCGACGATATCTGGTGGTTTCTCACCAATCTGGGGATTTTCTCGAAAATTCCGTCAAACGCATTTTCGAACTTCTGGGAGAGGTTACTCACGAAGCTTCCAGAAGTGCCTACATTCATCCTTGAAGAATCTTATAAAAATGACGTTTTTGGCGGTCCTCAATCAGTTGAATTAAGATTTTTAATCTGTGCTATACTACGAAGCTTTCTTCTCCGAGATCACTGCTTTAGGCATCGCTCTGCAAGCAATTTTGGTTACTTTGATATTCTTCCCATGCCAAAGAAAATTTTATCTCATACTGTTTTTTCTTTAAACTACTCATAGTTGTTTATCTCGATTTTAATGGCTTTTACTTTTCTCAATAAAGTTTCAAGTTCTTCTGTTTATTTAGCCTAGTTTTTAATGAGACATCTGCTAATCTGAAAGTTCGCAGCAATATATGTATTATATCACACGGTTGAACTCAGTCTGGCATAATTTAAATACTACGCTGCGTCTAATACTACGTGTAATCTACACTATACTAGGTGTAACCTTTTAGCTTCCCAGATTATCTGTCATCCCATCTTAGCAAATATTAACAGTCAAAACCAGAACACTAAGTAAATAAAACAGAAATAAAACTACTAAAAATTTGTTTTTAACCTTACGTTAAACCACATAACTAAATTAACTAAGAGATATTTTAATTACGTTTCTTGCGGGAAAGACACAACAAACTAAATTACTTACAATTCAAAAATTAAAATTTATATCCTAGCACATGGTTTAAGTGTTTGTATGACTACTAGTGAACGAAATTTCAACTAGAAGAACTCACCAGCTTGTAGCGATAGCTGTCATTACGAAACATGCTAGAGGAATTTCAGAATGGTCGGATGAAGTTGCCAAACCTCTCTTGTAAACTTAGATTCTTACCACTTTTTAAAATTCTTGTCACATTTTCTGATAGAGTAGAACAATACAGTAGGACGGATTTTCAACGTATTAAATAACGTATTAATTAAAAAAAACTTAAAATATTTTAAATATTTACAGGTACTGCATATATTTTTCAATTAAATTTTATGTTTCTTGTGGTTTTTCAAAGACGTTTTAAAAAGTTCAAACTGCACGCACTTTTCAGCTTTTCTAATATCATTTACTTTGCATTTTAAAGAATAATTGTATCTATGTCTTACTTCTACCATTTCACAATGCAAGTAATAAACGTTGCTTTGTTAAAATGTTGCTACACCTGTATAATTCTTAAAAAACTTGTTTTTCTCTTTTGTATCGCAAAACAAACCCGCTTTTCTTATAAATTAATATGAAAGATAAACCTTTCAATACAGATGTTTCCCATATATTTCATGTAAACAAATATCTTAACTCAGTATTTCCCAACCGGTGTATCCCTGGTATGGCAGGAAGTTTACAAAACATGCCACTAAATTTTTAATTTAAACGCATGTTTTAAAATACTATCTCCTTTTCAGTGTCATACTTATGGAAATCAATATTTTCTACGATGAAAATACAGAAAATCTAAATACAGAAAGAGACTAATTTATTTTGAAGATGATCTGCTGTTAGTTCGTTGGTTAGATTGCATCTTGACAAACTCAGCAAACACAAGCACAAACTTCAGATTAATAGCTGAGTATTAATAAGAATAATTTCGATAAAAATAATGAAAATTTATAAATCACTGAATCGCATGCTCATGGGTGTTTAGCGTGACGTCAGCTGGGCTGGGTAGGAAATCCTTACAATAATTTAAAATTTCGCCATCAGTCACAAACCTTAGAACTTAAAAGGTACTTAAATGTAATACAAGATACAAGGTGGCGCACGAACTATCATGCCCTTTGTTTTGTTTATTACAAGTTTATTTATCATCAAAATATTATAAAATGAATTCACAGTTTATTATGTGAGCATGGGCAGTGCAGGTTTTGTTTGCTTGATTATGGCAAAGAATATTAGGGCTATCCATCTAAGGGAAGAAACTCCTTCGTAAAAAGGAAAACGCTCATATAATCAGCCCATTCATCGGGATTTAAATCCAGAACGAACTACCAGTGTCCAGCGACTTTACTGCTCGGCCATTGGTGAGGGCGTTTAACGCATATTTTTGTCATTATCTCTAGTATTTTGTTTCACAACCACTTGTAATCCTCCAAGAAACTAACCAAATTAAAATTTTGATTTGTTGGATGAAAGCATACACAGGGAATGAAGGAAAGGAAGACGTCGACTTCCTTTCTAAAGCTGCAGCTACTAATCGTGATTCCGAAGATATGAACATAAAATGGCAAAAGTCTTATCTAAAAAAAGCTCATAAGAAAGTAAATATGGCAGAATGAACTGAACTCCCTTCATATCCACACACGAACTAATCAACGTAATAAACGGGAAAAGATGTCTCACTAACCCCTGTTTAAATCAGTTCATATCTGGACATGGACCCTTCCCCACTTATTACTACAAGAGAAATAGCTCTTCCTTCGACAATATTGTGTTTGTGGCAAAAGAGATCTCCAGAGAAGTGCCTCATTCCCATTAACAAAAGCGCATCACAGCGTTAATCAAAGACATATAATAAATAATCTAAAATTTCATCAAAATCAACAGTATTGTAAAATACCTTTCGGAACAAGAGAAAGATTTTTGTGAGCAATAATCATTATGAAAAAATATTTAAATTAGTATATAAATTCTAATAACTGCCCGAAAATGTTTTGGAAAGTTTGAATTGAGCCTAGGATGCTTTATTGTATCAGCAGCAACATGGGACAGTACCTGAATGACCAAATGCTTAAGTCCTAGTGTCTCGATGCTTATTCCTGTACTGTTCTGTCCCAACTCTCTAGCACACGTCATCGAAATCGTACAAGTGCACGATCTGGTACAACTGCACAACTGCAACTGAGCATAGAGCATAGAGTTGCGCTACGTTTGCATGCTTTCCTGCGAACACTTTTCCTTTCAAAAAAATCCTCATAAAAAGAAGTCACACGGATTAATATCCGGGCTGTTCAATGACACCATCTTCCATCTTCGTAACGTTCAGGAAACTGATGTGACATTACACGTTCGTTTAACATTTTATACAGGAAATCAAGAACAACATTTGGAATGTGTAGGCAAGTTCCCTCTTGCATGAACCACTGATAATACAAAGTGAGTCTTGTTGCCATTCTCAATTCTGCACACATTTGATTGGTACCTTGGATTTCTTCTCCAACACAAAATCAGCGGTTTCCAGTTACTGACACAATCTGTGATTGGTTTTTTTGGAAAAAGACCATCTAGTACCAAACTGTGCACGAAAACGTCTTTGTGCCGTCACTAAACGTTTCGTTTCTTCAAAATTATTACAACTTTCAGTTTCTGTTCTTGATACAACTGACCGCCATTCTTCATTCTTCAAACTGCTGCTTCAGTACAAATTAGAGTCCGATACCGACTTCCGATATCTACTGAATCGTCCATGAATACGCACCCAAATACGCGTTTTTAACATTCAATAAGCAATATTAAAATTTTTATGGGGTGATTGAGTGCTATGACGTTTCGTGCGCCACCCTGCATGTCGATGACAGAGGATGATTTCTTTCACGTTAAATTATTCAGATACTCACTGCAGTTGAAATTTTAGCCACTTTCTCTTTGTAGGCGAACAAAAGTTTGTGCCGGACATGGTCATTGAAAATCATTTGCGTCACGAATAGGAAAACGCCCTGAAAGTAATAAAATAAACCAAGAGTCTATAAATGAATTACTTTGCAGAAAACGAACATTAATCATGACAAAATAATCATAACTGAACATTAGTGATACATGCATTACTAAATATATATACATGGCAATGTCTTTTTGATTAATCCTCGTGAAATATAATCTACATCAGGTCCACAGATTCATTGTGGCGAAGCAGGAAAGGATTTCACATGGTACTCTCCAAGGCTTTGGACACTTTATAAGTAAAAATGTGATTTTTCTCAGATCCGACTCAATTTCTGGTGAACGAACCCCAGAGGTTGAATCAAATCCTCTTCCTCTTCTACCGTTCTCTCTAGAAGTTGTTTGGTTCGACAATGTGCAACAAATATACATTATATAATTACAAATATCCGTGCCTTCTCCGGGATTCAGACCTGGACTGAAGGCTACGGTAGCTGGTTTTTTTACAACCATGGAAAGAAAGCGGCTGTATGAATGATAATTGGCCAGATAATTAAACATTTATAATTAAAAAAACAAATGTCAGGATATGATACTTTTAATATGCGCCTTAAATCATATCTGTAAGTTGAGCCACAGTATCTGACGATTTTAACTGACGAAATTAACTGAAATATTTATTTGTTTTTTAAAACAATATAATGACGTTTTTTTAATGCAGCCATTCCTCTTAACTTCACATGTTTGGAACAACACTTTTTAAAAATGTTCTGCACTGAGTATAATTTTTTTTTCTTTCATAAATGTATTTTCGTAATACTCAAGATTTCGAGAGGCTATGGTTTCACCAAGATGGGACAATGTAGTGTAGTTTTTGAGAATCCATGGCAGTGCTTCAGCAAATATTTCCCATTTGTGTGATTTTTAAAGAAGGTGTTCCATATCCGGCCTCATAATTTTCATAATCCTCAGTATGAAACAACTATCGCTGAAGCTACCTGAAATCTCAAGTATATATTAATATACCTAGGAACACTGACAACCCAGGCTGATATTTCAGAAATAATTGCAGCATTACTAATCAACATAGCGAAAAGAGCGTTAAAATGGAGAACATATTTACAAATAAACTGTTCAAAAAATAAAAGGCTGAAGAGAAGAAGGCAGTATGAGCCGTGTTCTCTTCAGCCACAACTTCTTCTCAGTTATAATAAATGGCATTATGAGCCTGTTGTGCTGTAAAATAGAGAAATATATATATATCTGATATATGTTTCATGGTATCGGCTTAAAATTAATAATCTCTGATTTATGTGGCCCATTTTTATGTATGTTAAATGATAGTACATTTAACATGGTAGAAATTTCGTTAAATCCAAAAATGAAAAGAAACTCTTTCAGTTCTGGACCATTGCTTCTTAAAAATGTTTCATTCATGACTCCTTTTTATCATCGAGATTTTTTTTCGCAACTCAGGATACTAATATAAAATTAGGATATGAAAATTAGTATTTTCTCATAAATTATTTTTGTTCAAAGGGGCTTAGTTTGTTCTTCCTGAAGGACTATTGTTTTCGTTTTGCGATTTTGCGTTGGTTCCCTATAAATGTCCGTTTCACTTTTCAAACTGTTGCCATCAAATGCTTGATCCTGCTTATATTGGAAGAAATTAAATAATGAAAAATATGCATAAATGTATGCATGTTTCCCGCACTGTGAAAAAACAACGGTACATATAGTCATCGAATTTGAATGACGTAATCCTATGGAATATCGGGCATGTGAAGCCCAAATTTGAAATTTGAATTTGTTTTTTTATCGATTTCATATTTTGTAACTTTACGAATTTTTGATTAACAAACTCAAGGATTTCAAGGGGCATTGCACTTGCACAGAAAAACATTTTTTCTCCCAGCGCGCGAGACTCTGTATCGGAATTCTAAAGATATGTTCCAATTTAAAAACTATTTTGCGATATTGTTCTTGAAAAACTGATTTTGTGGTTAAGTGCGAAGATATTTAACGCCCCTTTACTAATTTAAAATCTGGAACCTTTCAGATTTTTTATTTTTATTTGTTATTTTATTTTTTATTTTATTTATTTATTTATTTATTTATGATTTGTTTCAAGTATTTAAAAATTAATGAAAGAAAATGTTTTAACGAGACGGATGTTCTTGTTTTTTGCGGTGTAACAAATTAAATCTTGCTCAATATTTGATACTGCTGAACGTGATGCATCTCAATATTTTAAGTGTTGAACGATATACCATTTAGATTGAGAAAATCGTCTCACGGCACTGAATCTCAGAAGAATATTTAATGTCATTTAAAAAACTGAAGGAAATTCTGTTCTAGCTCCGACCTATATTTCAGTGAAGAATTTTTTATACAAAATCAAGTTTAAATTTATGTTGCACGATACCTTAACAAATTCTTCTTAGGCTTTATATAGCAGGTAATTGATCTGACTAACATCAATCAAAAATAGTTTTTGAATGTAAGGTAACTTTTTAAATCAAAATTTGATATAAAGAATTGGAAGTATAAACAGCTACCAATTGAGGAGCTAAGTGAAAAAGTTGTCGTCTCCTCCCATGAAGATGTGAGCTGCAAGTGGTTTGAGGCTTCTATCTTCGAAGATAATTTTATAATTAAAGACTTGGGATAATTAACAAAGTCACATTGCACCTTTGTTTAAATTTTTCCTTCGATCTTCTGATGTATCTGGATCGTCTCAGTTTTAAGACTCTGTGTAAAGTTTCATGCGAATAAGATAGTGGAATCAGTAAATGCGCAGAATTTTTTTGCACTACTGCAGTTGAGTTGAGTTTGATGCAATTGAGTTTGAGTGCCGTGTTCCAAGCGAGCAGCATAACAAAGTATCGGTCGAAAGCAAAGTGGTCTAATATGTTTTTTGGTACCAAGCTAAGATTTGATTTTCCAATACCGGGAGAAACTGCATATATGCCATGGCTTGTCTTAACACTATTAATGTGGTTAGACCAAGTGACCTTTGGTTCAAAATAATTCTATATTTGGCCTTTGTGACAGAGAACGCTTCCTAAAATGTAGAGATCTTTAAACTGTTTTTCTCAGTTTGCTGAATTAAAGTTGTGACTTGTTAGCAATTGATTTTTACGCGCCTTTGTGCACCAGTCCTTCTACGTCATAGAGGTAATTTTGCATTTTGTCTATTGCAAAATTGATTGGATGGATTTAATTGCATCGCCGTATCCTCGGCATAACATGCTAACATAGAATTGTCCAAACCAGGGCGAGGAAATCTGATATATAGAAAAGATAAGCACTGGACCGAGAATACTTCCTTGTTGGGACGCTGGATCTATAGGTTTTGAATTGGATTTTTCATTTCCTTGAGCACGAAGAAGTGCGGTTTCTGCAAAAGGAGAAGATAGAAGAATGAGTTCTCTGGGAAGTCCCAAGTTGATAAGCTGAGACGATTCCCTCATGCCAGCGCGGTCAAAGGCTTTTTGCCACGTCCAGCATAAGCAGCGCAACACTTGGCTTTTTATGGATGCAATTCCACCATTCTACATGGTGGGGGTTTTTTTTTTTTTTTTTTTTTTTTTTTTTTTTTTTTTTTTTTTTTTTTTTTTTTTTTTTTTTTTTTTTTTTTTTTTTTTTTTTTTTTTTTTTTTTTTTTTTTTTGTTTTTTTTTTTTTTTTTTCTTTTTTTTTTTTTTTTTTTTTTTTTTTTTTTTTTTTTTTTTTTTTTTTTTTTTTTTTTTTTTTTTTTTTTTTTTTTTTTTTTTTTTATTTTTTTTTTTTTTTTTTTTTTTTTTTTTTTTTTTTTTTTTTTTTTTTTTTTTTTTTTTCTTTTTTTTTTTTTTTTTTTTTTTGTTTTTTTTTTTTTTTTTTTTTTTTTTTTTTTTTTTTTTTTTTTTTTTTTTTTTTTTTTTTTTTTTTTTTTTTTTTTTTTTTTTTTTTTTTTTTTTTTTTTTTTTTTTTTTTTTTTTTTTCTGTTGTCGGTAGACTTTTTTTTTTTTTTAATTTTTTTTTTTTTTTGTTTTTTTTTTTTTGTTTTTTTTTTTTTTTTTTTTTTTTTTTGTTTGTTTCCTAATAGCATAAGTTTTTTTTTTTTTTTTTTTTTTTTTTTTTTTTTCATCTCTTTTTTTTTATTTTTTTTTTTTTTTTTTTTTTTTTTTTCTTTTTTTTTTTTTTTTTTTTTTTTTTTTTTTTTTTTTTTTTTTTTTTTTTTTTTTTTTTTTTTTTGTTTTTTTTGTAAGATCTTTTCTTTTTATTTTTTTTTTTTTTTTTTTGTTTTTTTTTTTTTTTTTTTTTTTTTTTTTTTTTTTTTTTTTTTTTTAAGTGAATGGTGCAAAAAATGTGTTGAGTTTTTATGTATTTTTGAGTTTTTATGTATTTTTGCCTTGCGCGGAGTGAGAATTGGAATATTTGAATGAGAATTATATCTCCAATGAAGTTCAAGGAAATAAGTTTAAACGAATTACAGCAAAAATGTGTATAATTTAATAGGCCGTACAAGGAAGTGATGTTGTGTCTACATCAGGTTTTTTTGAAATATAAAATGCAAGGAAATATAGGCCCGTAATCATCGTGTAAAATCTTTGTACTAGATTCTACGAATTAAAAAAAGACAGAAAATTACATTATTAATTGATACAGAGGTATACAGAGTTACATTACTAATTTAATGATCAAGCTATGCTTTATTTATGTAAATGCTACTTGTACCTGTAAGCCATTCAGAATCACGAAGAGGTACGCCGAAATAGCCGGGTTCTTGGGAACATAGAAAAATCCGAAGGCCCACGTAAATCCGAGGAGACACATCAAAGAAGTCATACCTTTCAATCTTTTCCTGCAGTTTATGAAAATAAATTATGTATAATATATGTGTGCTGTATAAATGTTAGAACGAAAATGAATTTTACGGGCATTTTTACATTCAGATTTCTAATTTTTGAGGTATCGTTAGCTCCCAAACTAGCATTCCTTTTTGAATTATATTTAGGTTTTAGATTGCTCACATTATTTTTTGGTTTGAGAGAATAAGATTATTACACCTGTCAAAATATTCTCTCTGAAAATTCCTCAAAACCTTTTAAGGAGGATGTTGTTTCACGGAAAATTGCTGAAAGATATTTTAGGAAAGTATAAGTTTTCAAAAGTACACTAATTTCAAGCAATGAAGATCAAGAAGATAATTAATTATTACCATTTTAAGCTACTTTTAGCTTTCCTTTGATAATGCCATAAAAATTACTTTTCGATATTTGATGTACGCGATAAATAAATAAACCACGTATAAATTTGTTCTTTTCCTAAAAATTACCATAAATTGTTATGGTTGAAATCAAAAGCGTAAAGCAGAAATTTTAAAAAATTGTGTATATATCCCTTCCAGTCACATGTAAACTAAATGTAAATTGCAAAGATTCTGTATTCTAAGATCTAAATTTTGATAAAATATAGCACCCAAAGAAAATTACTCTTATATTTCTCGGTCCTTTTTTTTTTTTAATAAAAATTATGTAAGGCTCAAAATTTTGCATTGATTTAAATAAATTATATAAATTCAACAAACGTTGGAGCACGGTTTTCAAACAAAATCTTATTACCGAAGTGGATTTATACACCAAGTCTATAATACACCTATAATACACATTATACACCAAATCTATAATACACATTATACACCAAGTCTATAAATATTCTTACCCGGCTTTTATTTTCTTAACCGCTTGTTGTAGAAATATACTTCCAGTTACAAATATCTAAAACCAGTTAACCTGTTTTAAATGACCTAAAAATCCCTATTTTGGCATTTCTAAATTTAAAGAAATCAGTTTTAGAAAAATTACAAAAATTAACTTCTTTATAGATTTCTTCGGTATCTATATTTATACTTTGAAAAATTTTATGCTTGTTATGAAAAAAAAAAAAAAAAAAAAAAAAAATTCCTGCGGCTAAAATTTACCGAGGTATTTAAGTTAAAAATGTGAGCTTTTTGATGTCATATTCAATTTGTATTAAGTTGTCGATTAGTAAATAAGTTTGAAAAATTGGACGTTGGTTGGTTTTCCCTTTAAATGACATTCAGTAGTGCTTTTTTTTTAAATTTATCAGGGCCTTTTTAATTTATAATTTTATTCTATTTGGTACGCCGAAACAATTTTCATAAAAGTAATTTCTAAGATTTTAAATTTTAAACATACATTATTAATATTTTCATGAAGTTTTATTTCTTTAAAATCATAATCTAATAATCGTATGAAATATTCCTTAAAATACAAATATTTTTCATTTTTAATTAATGCAAATAATATTACGTGTTGGCTTGCCAATACAGAAGTCTGCCATTGTTTTCTAGAACGGGAAATCTATATAAGGTTCTATGACTAAGATCTCCATTCAAAAATATATATCTGATGATTTAATGCGTAGGAAGAATCCGATACTTTAACAGCTTTCGATATCCGTCATGGCTGATGGTTAAGGCATACCGATGAAGATAACAAAATTGAATTTTTTATGAATTACTAATTCATTTTTGCACGCATGAAATCATTTCTTAGTACATAAGATATTTCTAGATCATAAGCATTTCCAAATTTTTACATGCATGTTATATCATCTTAGAATAAGAACAAAGGAGGGCTTAGCAGCACAGAAATGTTTGCAAGGCGGAAGCTAAGAAAAGGAATGACGTAGTTATTATGCCAAGCGTTTTTATACTAAGTCTGATATATAAACACAGCTTATACAGATGAATTTAGGAAGAGAGCACCAAATCTAGAATAGTTAATTTTTGAGGTATAATATATATATATATATATATATATATACACACAACACACACATATATATATATATTGTGTTGATAAGCATACACACACATCAATGCTTGTTTTGTATATATATACATAAATCAATACTTTTTACAATAATTTGCATAGAAATGCTCGTCACTTAATATCTTAACGTCTGAAACCTCTCTGTTAAATGATATTTCATTTTTGGTTACGTAAGCATGCAAACATTTCGCTGTTGAATTTGTGTGGCCCTTAATGTTATCTGCGACTTTAACACCAAATATTTAGGTCAATTTTTATTCTATGATAGTCAAGCATCTTGCTTTCTACTAATTAGAATGAGTGCAAAATTTACTTAAGTATAGGGACCAGTAGACGGTATAAAAAGTTAGATTGCTTATTTTATGCAAAATTATTTTCATTTAATTATTTATTTATTTTAAAAGTACGAAACTATAAGTCCTTGCGTTATTTAAAACATTTTTATAATTAGAGGTGTATGTATACGATAAGCAGTAGAGAAAATAGAAGCCGCGTAAGGACATCCATAGGCACCGTGTGTAGTGCTGACGTTTAACGGTGTTTAAGATACCCGGATGCCCTACCCCGAATCGAACGATTAAAAATTTCGTAGTAATATACTTAATAATATGTTAAGAAATAGGGTAAGAAATTTGCATTATTGATTTTTTTAATAGATTATGAATGTTAATTAAGTTGTTGGGGATTTTTCAGAAAGCTGATCGAGCTGGGAACAAAAAGTACGCAATTCAAGTGCACAATGCAGACGGTCATAGCAGTAAATTTTAAACAATTTAAACAGAACACATACAATAATAATATATTAAAAATACAAATCAAGGAAAGTGAAATTATAAATAAAATGACATTCAGTACTAATTATTCCTTTGTCACCTTGGGGTTAAGTATGGTCATGGGCCGCCTTTTTTTTTTTTTTTTTTACTGCTCATCCAGTTAGTTATAGTTATAGATGCGGAGATCAGGATGACTAAGTGTTCTCATTTTTGCATGAAATTTAACTGCAAGATGGTAATAAATTATTTGGACAATGCCAAATTCTTCATGAATGATATTATTACGAACGTACCAGGGTGCTTTGGAGATTTGCCTGAGAACACAGTTTTGTGCAGTATGAAGTTTTTTTCTATCAGATTTACAAGAATACGCCCAAACTTGACAGGCATAATATAACACGGGCCTCAACATGGACTTAAAAAAGAGTAATTTGTTGTCAATAGATAGGATGCTGTTTCGAGCAATTAAGGGGTATAGTTTAGCTTTATGAACTCGAAACTTCTGGAGAATAGACTGCACGTGTGGGGTCCAAGTGAGAGAATTAGTGAGGATCCTCCCGAGATAAGAGACTCGTGTATAGTGCCTGGTCCTCCAAAAACTCTAATCCTGAAAGTAAGTAGCGCTCTCTAGGTGGAGAAAAGGAGTTAGCAGTTGGAGACTGGCTCTCGGCGGGAGAGATCGAGTGTTCAGTGTCTGATTTCGTAATCAGCGATCTTGCCCTACTTTGTTGTGTGTTGCAAATAACTTAAAAAGGCAATCTGACTGTCATTGACTGTGTACAAGACGCGACACCTGCCACAACTGGATCTTACACCGTGCGCGGCTTGTACTGTTTCAATATTTCTTTTTTCTTATTTCTTATCTGAGGTTATGGCTCCCTCTACCGTCCTCAGAATCTTTATGCATCGTCTCTCCCGCCCTCGAGCGTCCTCTCAAATGGTGCGCTTCTCGGCCAATTTAAGAGGGGTTCGAATTTTTTCAGTATTGTAGCCAACTATTAAAGAAGGAACGAGCGGAGTGTTATATTGATAGTAGCTAAATACAGTGCTACGCCGAGATAGCAGAGTGTTGTACATTATGCATATGTATAATGACAGATCATCACGGGACTGTCCTGCAAAGATCTATATTTTTCTAAGTGATTTTCCTTTACGATGTCAATCTTTTCACTTTTTATGACCGTCGAAATGGAAAGGCTTAGTTGCTTTTATATTAACCACTTGCGCTGCCATCCTCCGTCTTAGCAAACACAATAGTTTAATCAATATGTATATTCAGAAACACAGAATACAGTGGAATGTTTACGTATATGCTACACAAGCTATAGCTTAGGCCTCCCCCAAATTAAAATATAGTATAAATAGTATTAAAATATATTATAACAGACTTATAAAGGGCTCCATATCTCAAATAGCTTAAGGCCTTATCAAGTCTAAATCTTGCTCTGAACGTCACATACAGATGCTCCTTCAAGCAAGTTTGGAATTCTACCAAAACGAATAATTTATTAAAAGAGATATCAATTGACTTTAAAAAGAAACTATGAAATTAAATTTTGAAAGTGCAGGAGTAAAACAAAGTTTATTAGAAAAGGAAATGTTTGAAAGAAAATATATCCATTTCTTCTGCAGCACATAGATTTTTTGTAATTAACAGTTTAAAGATAAAAAATTTGAGCAGTTTTTCCACACCATGTTTCCTTTTTCTAAAAACTATTTAAAAATATCTCAGTTTTTAAATTATAGAAACGGAACATTTTCTGTTTGAAAGCCAAAAGTGTATGTTATTTACGATGTTATAGAATTTGAAATTGTGTGACTGACAAAATACTGTCTCTGTGAGAGAAAAAATGCCAAATATTCCTTAAAGTTGCACAAAAGGTAAAATAAATAAGAAAACAGTTTCAAAAGTCAACATTCGATTTTAAAGGTGCACATGTTCGAATGCATGTTCAAAATTTGGTGGCTCAAGCTGCCACCATCTTTCCAGACTACAATGTACTCGTATACTTACTGACAAATTTTCTTTTTATGATAGCAGATATATTTATGCACTTTATGGAAAAAAATCGAGCACAAAAATAAACATTTGTTTACATGAAAAATATAGTAAAAGGATATCTAAATTACTTATAAATATATTATGAATTAGACTTTAAACTGCTTACTCACACTACACACTTTCTCTTTTCCCTACAAGTATTGTTTGTGGAGTTTATTCTGTCAACCTTGGCAGCCGCGTGTAAAGCCAGAATGAAGATAATAAAATTCACCTGAAAATTTCTTTAATTAGTCTACGTTATAATTTTTGTATTTCAGCACTTAATTATGAGCAAAATAAAACAGAAAATGATACCGTGATAATTATTCCAATCGGTCCTATGACACTCCATATGAAACCTTTTTCACTTGATGGCCAGCAACTAAAATTACATAGGTAATAAATCTGAATCTCAAAAGATTGCGGTAATTTGAATGAAGAATTTAACAAAAAAATAAACCCTCACTCAGTGCATAATTTTAAGTATTCTCAAATTTGCCATAGAAAGCATCTGCTTGCAGAAAGCGATATCAGAATTCCATATGACTCCATTTTCTTAATTATTAATAATAAAACCTTAAATTATACACATTGATTGATTGATTACAGTGATACACAAATCACTGTAATCGCGATTAGTTTCTCATTCGTTAAATTTTTACGCAAAATGACATCATAAATTCATAGCTATTAATAAATTTATGAACGAATAATTTAATGTGAAATAAGCTTAGAAAATTTCAAAATAAATTACGTTAATAACATTATGTAAACATAGTATCAAAAAGAGTTGCAGAAAATATATATTCGAAAAACTAGAAGTCTCTTAGGTCTTAGGTCCTCGCTTATTCAATAGGTATACGACCCTGAAGTCTTTACCTATCTGTAACTGTTCTTAATAGGAATCCTAAAAGTGAAAAAAAAAATTCCAAGTATTGGAATAAACCTGTACACTTGAAGTGTTGAATGACATCCAGTGTGGCAGTATGTAACAGTGGCATAACTTTGGTAAAATAGCGATTTAACATCTGAAGCATAACTTTCACATCGTAAAAGAAATTTAACACATCTGTAGCATAAAATCTTTGGCATAGCTTTCTCCTCATAACTACTACGGCTGAGTGTCCTCCTTCCTCCGTGTCTTGGAGCAACAGAATAGCGTGTGCATAATAGTTGAGGCATATAACAGTAATGGGCGGAGCATAGTTGCACTGACCAAACGTTGAAGTTTTATACACATAAGACAAATCAAAGTCCTGCCTCCGGGTGCGCAAAGTCCATATCGCTTTGCAATAATTAAGCAATAATTAAGTAAATGTAAATACGAGTAAACAATGAAAAGTAGAAAAAACATTAAATTCACTATGTACATCGATCACCATAACTCGTTATGGTGTATCGTTCTTGGCCTTTTGCAGCGTTGAATGACTGTATAGTCATAATCTCCTATGTTACGTACAGCTTCATTTTCGTGATTATCACATTTGGTGTAGAAATTATGTGAGGCAATTAAGATCTCGCTATCTAATGGTTTGATTTTCATTCCACGATGTATTGCAGTGTTTCTTACAAACCACGGTGAGTCTGTGATAGTTCTAAGAATTTTATTTTGCAATCTTTGCAAAATCTGACGATTTGACCTGGCTGTAGCGGCCCATGCTGGTGCTGCGTACAATAAAATCGGTCTTATTGCTTGAAGATAGAGAATTCTCTTAGTACTTAGTTGTAATTTTGAATGTCTCCCTATTAAGGCATAAATAGACTTAAAAGCTTTGTGAGCGTTTTCACGAGTATACATAATATGCGGCCTGAATGTAAGCTTATCGTCAAGAATTACATCCAAGTATTTAATATTTTTAACTGTAGGTACTGTGGCACCATCTAGTGTTATGTTGTTTACTTCTTTGAGGTTGTGTCTAAAAAATACGACTTGAGACTTAGTTGCATTGGTTTTGATCTTCCAAGCGTAAAACCACTTGGTGAGGATATTAACGGCTTTTTGAAGCTTATCTCTTGCTTTGATGGGGCTAATAGAACTGCACATGATTGCGGTGTCATCCGCATAGCAAGCAAAAGTAGTATCTGGGATATTTGGCATATCGTTGATGTATAGACAAAATAATATTGGCGAAAGTAAACTTCCTTGCGGAAGACCGGCCTGAATAATTTTCTTGCTGGATAAAGTATCTTTAATTTTAACCTGAAAAGTTCTGCTGTCTAGGTAGCTGAATATTGTCGTAATAAGGTCCGGAAAATTGATAATTTATCATTTTTTTGACAAGGAGGCCAGCATGCCAAACCTTGTCAAAAGCCTTCTCGATGTCCAAAAATAGGGCAGCAACAGTCTCTTTCTTATTTAGATGTTGTCCGATAATTTCTGTAATTCTTGTGATTTGGTGTACTGTAGAATGACCTGGTCTGAAGCCAAACTGGTAATTCTTTAGCAAGTTGTGACTTTCAATGAAGTTATTAACTCGATTTACAATAATACGTTCAAATAATTTAGCAAGAGTAGGGAGCAAGCTGATTGGTCTATAACCGCTCGTAGTTGACCCGTCTTTTTCCTGGTTTTCTTATGACGATAATGATAGCGTGTTTCCAGATACGAGGGAAATAGAAATAGTTCAAATTTAAGCAGCAGGCGTTAAAAATTTTTGTAATGAGGATTATCCCTTTCCTGTTCAGGTTCTTGATGGCTTTGTTACCAATCCCGTCATAACCGGCCGCTTTCTTTGGGTTCAAAGTATCAAGACAATCTTTTACTTGTCGGGGGGTGATGAGATTTCCTACGCTGCGACTATTAGTAGCAATGTAATCTTTTACATGGTTTTCGATGTTAACATCATTTGGGTTTTGGGATACTGATTTAACGTGAATTGGTCTTCGTAATCGCTAGCGAAGATGTTTGCTTGCTATATCCTCAGCTTTATGAAAAGCCTTGGTTGTTATGTTTAATTGGGCCAATGTTGTTCTCCTCCTTTCTGAGCGCTTTACTTTACTAATTCTCCAAACAGTAGAATCTAGAATCTGTGTGGGATAGGCTGTCTACAAAATCTTCCCCTGCCTCTGAGCGATACTTAATCATCATGAGCCTAAGTTCTTTATTGCATTTATTAAAATTTCTTCTATCCTGCGGATTTTGAGTTCTCTGAACAATCTTCGGAAGTCTGTTTTTCTCTTGAATTTTTAATCTGATGTTGTAGGGGAGGGTTATGTCTTCATTTTTAACAAACTGCGCATTTTTAAGGCACTCTGGATTTTAATATTTAAGTTTTGTATAGCAGTGTCTATCTCTTCTTTTGAGTTAAGATTTGCGTTAGGAGTGATGTTATTATTAATTTCATTCTGGTACTGAATCCAGTTTGTCCGAGTCTTCATGGGTGGTAATCCATGTCGTAGCCCGTAGAGGGTAAAACGAACAGGTAAATGATCGGAGGATAGATCATTGTCCACACTGAGATAAGGCTGTTGCGAAACATTAAAAGTAAGCATAATATCTAAGATATCAGAGTTGCTGCGAGTCATAGGGCAATACGTGTGCTCCGTAGGAGCAAAAATTTGTACATTATTGTTTATTATGTAGTTATATAACACAATTCCATCTTGGTTGTTTGTCCTGCAGTTCCAATTTGTATTTTTACAATTCATATCACCTGCGATGATAGTAGGATAACCCAACCTTGCAATATAATCTAAACCCTGTGTATTGAGCGAGTTTCCGGGTGGCTTATAAATCGAAACTATGAGATATTTTACTCCTTTGCTATTCAGAATACACGCACATGCTTCTATGCTGTTAAAAATGGGTAATGCGAATTTGCAGCATTTTAGGTACCTTTTGGCAGCTATGGCGGTGCCTCCACCACGGTTATGTATTCGGTCGCTTCTAAACACATCGAAGTTTGCGATCTTTAGGGAGTCAGTCGTCCTGAGATGCGTCTCATTCAAAAAGAACGATATCTAAGCTATGCCTGTTAATGTAGTCTTTAATTTCAGTTACTTGATTTTTTATGCCATTACAGTGAAAGAACATAAATTCTGCATAGTTAATATGCCTACTGTTACATGCTAAGTTGTTTTGGATGTGATTATACACGATTGTTCACATCAAACATCTTAATGGCTTCAAGAGCCACACTTAACTTATTCATCTGGTCATCTCTGCTTCTTTAAATTGTAGGTACAGAGAGTATAAATTTTTAATAAATCTATTAAAACCTTCAATATCGTTTTCGTCATTATTTTGAGAGGTTTTTCCTCCTGGTTTGGGTTTATTTCTAGTTATCATCGGTGCGGCGGCGGCGGCGGCGGCCGCGTACGTTTTGGAGTCGGAGCCTTTTTCTGATTGGCTCTCAGTAGAGCGAGTATAATTTTTCGCTTTTTCAGTCATGGCGCTGGGTATGATTTTCTTATTTTCAAAGTGTTTGGGAGAATGTTCCATATTTCCAGGCCTCTTGGGGCAATCAAGACTACACGCTGCGTGCGAACCGTTACAAAGGACACACTGGGCTGCATGTTCTTTTTTTATTTTTATATGGGCATTCGAAAGATTTATGCGATTCAGTACAGCGTACACATCGCGGTTCGTTGTGACATGCCTTCTGGGTATGCCCGTACCTTTGGCAATTAAAACATTGCGTTGGTCCGGGCCTACCTTTGTAAGATTTTATAGTAACCTTCATATCACATAAGTATTTAACTTGCCATATTTTCTTACCCTCGTCATTACGGGGGGGTTTCAACATAAAAAACCGGCAGCTGTGTAGCAATACCGTCTCTCATTCTAGTGATGGGTTTGACTTTAATTATCGGTATTTTTTTTTTTTTGAGCTTCTAACTCTTCTTTAATTTCGTCAGCCTGGTAATCCGTGGTGAGTCCTTTTATGACCAATCTGTTACATTTATCTGAGTTTAACAAAAAGGTGTGATACGGAATTTCCTCCTTTTCTAATTTATCCTGCACCTTTTTATAATCGTCGGCGGAGCTTAGTTTAAGAACCATATATTTTCGCCTTCTTTTTTGCATTCAAATTTTTTTAATTTTTAAGTTATCTTTTAATTCTTTCCTAAAATCCTTCCAGTTAATGGTCTTAGTGATAACTAGCGGGGGAATTTTCCCAGCATACTGTCTGGGTTGAATGAAGGGATTTGCGTTAGGGGTAACCTTATCTTCTTCCAGGATATTGTCCTCTTCCATTCTGTTGCCATCTAAATTTACCTCTTGTAAGGAAATTGAATTGATTTGCAGATTTTAGCAGGGGTACGTTTCCGTTTCCTCGTTCGAACTGCTACGTTTCCTACCGCGTTTTGAAACGAGTGCATCCTGCCAACCGTTGTCTAATTTTTGTGAATTTTGCCTATTGTTAGTATTAGAAAATGCCTGATTTAGAACTTCTACACCATCTTTGCGATATATCATATAATGTTTCGCTTCTAATTCGGCTCGCATAGAGCAAAGACATTTTTCCTGTTCCTCTGTAATACCTGTCGATTCCTCTAGTTCTTGAAGTTTATCAGAATCTTCTTTTAGTGCATAAAACTGCGCGAATAATGCATAAAGCGATCCGGGTTCTCCTTCCTCCATGCCGAACAGCTAGTCACCGAACCCACTATGTAATACGGTAAAACATTTTGGTCAAAACAAAAGTCTCTTACCGATAGTCAAGACAAGCAGTCTCCAAGAATCACGACTAGAAGTCTTATAAGAATGCATGCAAAATATTTCACAAAATTTGGATAAATTATGGTGAACATTGCATATTTTATTTTTTCATGATTATTTTCATCACAAAATAAAATCTTTATATGGATTTATTTGTTAACTGAAGGAAACAATGTTTAATAAGAATCTTGTTAAAATATTAATAGTTGCACTTGTGCATTTATTTTTAGAATTTCAAATAAATAATTTTATAAAATCTTATCTAAAAAAATTGGTATGCTTTAAAGTTTAGTCTCTATTAGCCAAGATTTTGACTATTAAAGTGATTGTGGTTCTGATTACCGACGGCTGGTTACCTAGTCATTATTCCACTGTGGTATAGCTAGAAAAGTATTTTATTGGCCACTGAAGAATTTCCGTGTATCGCTTTTGATCTGGATGGCAGAGAAACGTTTATATGCAGTATCATGTGCAGTGCTTCATTTGTGTACTCTATATATTTCACCACTAAAGAGTTTTTCAATAATAGCAATAGACATTTTTATAAGAACGATTTAATTATTTTTTCTTCATTGCTTACTGGGAAAATTCGTTTGGTATGCGCTCAGTTTGGTGTGCGTCTAAGGATCTTAGGATTAATGACGTATACCGGGTATTTTTTAAATAATAAAGCATATAATAGTTTTTTTTCCTTTCAAAGTATACTTACTGCTTCTCTCTGATCATTTGTTCAGGCCGCACTAAGCAAGATAGTAGTACAGTTATGAAAGGGATACCTGAAAGAGAAATGGAGAACTCGGTATTTCGTATGTATATAAAGTTTACAGCCAACAAAATACAAATATCTGATGACGCACTTTTTAAGATATGTATCATAATGTGGTTTCTTTCACGCTCTTTTACTTGAATTTTATTTTTACAAATGCCAAACATTACACTTAAGGCATCAATTAGTTCACGACTCTCCTCTACTTTTTAACAATGTCGTCATATCGAGAAAGTGCAATACAATTATTTAAATATTCAAAAATTATAAGTTGATTGGAATCACACAAAAAATTAGAAGTTGATTGGAGTCACCACTCCAATTCTGTAGAGGTGGTCTCGCAAACAGTCATGTCCGATCAGACGTCTAAATAGAGCTACCGCTGTCTTTTCTGGAAAACTGGGAATGAAAGTTATCTCTTTTCCCAGAATCCTCCAACTGTTGTCCATAGCAAGTTGAATCATATCCTGCTTAAGAATTTTCTTAAGAGTCAGGTTAACAAACAATTTAGTAGTAAGAAAAGAAAGCGGTCGATTAATGCGTTGCATTATCAAGGTTCTTTTCTTAGCCAATGTTTTTTACTTAAATAATGATGGATTTGCAAATACTGTTTGTGTATTGTTTGTTTATGGAGGCATAGAGCCTCTAGATCATGATATTGTTATATTTTTCTTTTCTGACACCAGTTGTTACGTTATTTTCTTCTTAAACGTTCGTACGGGGTTCGTGTGGATTTGGAGTGAATAACGACGACGTTTGATGAAGTATCGAAACTCACTTTATTGGCGGTATTAATCAGGACAATTCCAAAATCTCGTTTACAGTCGTCGAACTGTTATAAATACGCTGACACGTTCAGCGACACAGCCTTCACACTGTCAGGCAATAAAGGTGGAGACAGCTTCACTGCAAAGCCCCCGAGTACGGCTCTCAACTTTGCTTGGTCGTTCTCGGAACTCCATGTACTCTCGAGATTCTCCACGCGATGCACTCGAGGATACACAAGAGCATAGCTCTCGACTCAGCACAGTCTAAGACAAAACTCGACGATGCACCAATTCGCGATGCACTAAAAGACTCTCTCGATGCACTCGACGACCAACTCGGCGCTAGACTTCGAGACACTAGCTCAATGACTGACTATCAGCTCATTAGACAAAGCACACGCACACTAACTGACTGCGAACCAGCAGGGTTTACATAGCTTTCGGCTTGTGTTCGAGAACATTCTGGGCTAAACCGGTAAGAATTCGTTCCAGAAGGCTCTCCATCTGTCCATGGTATATCGCCAATTTTGTCACCAAATGTCGTCAAATGGGCGATTTCTCGCCAAATGTGGCAACCCTTCTTTCCCTTGCCATTTTATGGCAACCCTAAAACTGCTTTGCGGGGAAGACATCTCACCGCGCCTGTACATTTCGTAACAATATAATGAAATGCCCCTTAATAAAGCAATATCATATTAATTTTCCTGCAGCTACTATTAATTCTTTCAGACGATACTCTGTTAAACACAACTATCCTTCACTTGAAGTTTGTTAAATTGTGAAAACTACTTTCTGCATCAGGGCAAGGTATTTGCCAAGCAACACCAGATAAATCTAAGCCGATCAAACGGAAACCAAAAAATCACTTAAAAGAGTCGTAAAATTTGAACATTTAACAATTATTAAATACAAAAATTTAAAAGAAAACGGATTTTACATTTCTGGACACATCTTCCGGACTGTTGGTATCTCCAGGAAAGTAAAAGAAAATTAGTCTGTGAGCTAACCAATTCAGAATATTAAAATTAATGTTTAGAAAAAATTTAAGTTATTTCCGCAGCTCGTGACCAACGAGGCAGTATTCATAACAGCAGATAACCTAACCTGAAGTTGTCTTTGGTTATGAGCAGGGAATCCTAACGAGGGTCGATGAAATTTTGAAGGGGTTCGTTAACAATCAAGTGCTCGATTGGGGGTTGATAGCCGAATGTGTACCGGCAGTTGGTGGCTTAGTCATAGATTACAAATACATACATATATATATATATATAATAAAATCACAATTATCCATATATATATATATATATGGATAATTGATTTTTTACTGATAAAAAACTATGGCATGTGTAGTCAGGAAGAAATTATACAAATTAAATAAAAGGAAAATACATAAAAATAATTTAATATAATTTTTAAACTAATAATATTCTTTTTTACACAGATCAATATTTTATGCAATGAGAGCAAAAAATTGTTACTGACCCACATCATTGACCTTTTTCCTCTTCTTAACTATAGAAGCAAGCTTTAGTCAAGTCAATAGTTTACTACGGTTTAAAAAGAGATAGGCTGAATTTTATTGAATGAGATGATTTAAGATTTAAGCAATTTTATTCCAATTACTAAACTATTGCATATATACATCAACTACAGTCATCATATTAATTAAAATCTAAGTTATGTGTAATTCGAATTCGTAATTTTGTTTCTGAAACTTGTTTATATTTTTTAAATTAATTAGATCATTCTTCCATATCTAGTTTGAAAAAATTTAAAGCTGCATCATAATTTTCTTCTATTAATGCTTAGCTGGAAATAGTTTTGGCAGCAGTCCCTCCAAAATAGTTTCATAAATAAATAAACTTTTCAACTTTACCAAATTAGGATATTTATCCGTAGCAATTTCAAATCGCCCAACGAAAAAAAATCGCCAAAAAATCTATTTATATTTCATTTGGACAATTGGCTCGAAAAGATTTCAGTATTTTGAGAATGAGATGGTTTAGTGTGAGACAGCATTGTCTGCAGTATGACTTACATTGGTAACACTACACACTTCGGAGTTTAATTCTTCAGTTTCAGTTAATTTACATTTGCATTTTATTAAATTATCTAAATATTCTTCACTATTAATTACTTCCCTTTCAATACCATTTTCATCCGTGAAGTTCAATATTTCATCATCAGTTACTTTCATGTTAATAATTTTTTCAATTAATTGTTACAAACGAATTTTCAGAACTTAATTTATCAATGCCCATCAACAATGAAAACGAAACTTGCTCCCCCCCGTCACGTATCCAGAATGAAGGGGATCGGACAAATTTTAATTAAACCAATACGAAGAGACGATGACGGCCGATGCACCATGTCGCAAAATTCAGTTTACTATTAATCGAAAATATTACCTTGTGATTCAGGCTATTTTTAAAATTCTAAGTTTCAAAGTTGTAATCCATCCACTGTAGATAACTTACTATACAAATCTAAAGGAAAATTATTAAATATTAAACATAATTATTGAAGTCAAACATCGAACACTGCGATTACCTCTTGGGATTTCAAAAGTTTTATCAAATTCGAATTTTTCTCTGTTTGACCAACACCCTTTAGAACTTAACTTATCCAAAGTGTGCTGGTGTGACACGCGGATCAGTGGCGAGCAGCACAGGGAAGAAGGGCGAACCTCTTCCCAAGCGGTCACGGACACTTAGCCGACAACCACTTAGCCGACATGACACTTAACCGACACCAGTTAGCTGACATGACATTTAGCAGACATGGACACTTAGCCGACATGGACACTTAACCGACAGGACATTTAGCCGACAAGGACAGTTAGCTGAAAGACATTTAGCCGACAAGGACACTTATCCGACAGGACATTTAGCTGACACAGTTAGCCGACAAGGACGCTTAGCCAACACAGACAGTTACCGGACAGGACATTAAAGCCGACAATGAGACTCGCTCTTCCCACTTCTACTACTTTCACATTTCATTAATAATTTGCTCAAAATCGTTTCGCTCCTCCCACTAAAGAAATTTCGTTTCCTATTTTGAAAGCAGAGTGATTCGCACTACTCCTCGCCACACTGAAACTCCTTTTTTTTTTTTTTTTTTTTTTTCTGAATTTCTATTTACACCCTCAGAATGCTATTCACACGTTAGGCATCGTATTTTTATCAACTTGGGTAAGGGCTCCGGCGCAGCGAGCTTCGCCGCCGAGCCCATGGAATGTGCTGTTGTAAAAAAAAAAAAAAAAAAAAAAAAGATAATAAAAGTCTCACGCCCGCTCCGGAGCCTGAACTGAACCTAAGAACGAAAAGCTCCCCCAATTTTCTGCCCAAGACTGGAGTTGAAATGGAGCGATCTAAGAGGCCTTTTTGCCAATAGCGGTGTAAAGAATTATGTAGGAGTCTTGACTAGTGATAACATAACCTTAATTTTCCACTCGTCACGTCATAGAGATGGAGCCAGAGTCGCGTATACGTAACTTAAAAACGGAACGATTTATTTGAATTTTTAAATGCCAGTAGATGGTGCTAAATGGTAACGGTTTTTACATGGTTTAAGTCATGTGGCTTTTGACCTTCATGTATGAGCATCAGTTTCTGTTCTGTGCTTCTGGTTTTGATAGATTTATTGGTATCAACAAACTGGGTATCACAGCTCTTTAAGTTTTAAATGGATACCGACGTGTTTGTTTATTTCGTTAAGATCCCCCCCCCCACTGTCTTCTTTTTTATTCTTTGCGTTTTTAGTTCTTAGAATGCGGGGAAATAATTTGCATAATTTTTATTTAGGGAAGAAAAATGATTGTGTATACTATATAGGTATATATATATAGAGAGAGAGAGAGAGAGAAGAAAGATGATGATTGTGATTGATATATATGCACATATACTAGAGTTTATATATTTTGTCTACTGACACACTTTGTTCTATATTGTTCTGTTTTTCGTAACCTTTGTAATAGGGCAACTCTTCCTTCTGCTATTTTTATGCTAGGAATAAGCAATTCATCTCATGTTTGTGAAATTAAAAATCTTGGAATTAAATGCGTAGTTCTGTGACATCATTTTTACTGACTAAGCTTCTCGCTTTTAAAACGTTACTTAGAATGGTTTAAGTTTGGCTGTAAAAAAGCTGGTTCATCACAGAAAGTTGATGCTCCTGTGACTATTGTGTCAAATGAATCTTCTGAACTATCAGAAATGGGCTTTGACAACATCTTACTTAC